AATTGAATAAAATCCTGTTTAATAGCGTAGAAATTTTTGTACTCGATGGTTGAATGTATCTGCAACATATAAATTGAGTTGTTTATCTAGTATAATCCAATAAGGAAGTTTCAATAAGGTAGAATTGACACCAGATACACCCGTAATACCCGCGATTGTTTTACCGTCCGGTTCACCAGCTAAGAAAAATTGAATACGATGATTCGTTGCATCAGCCACATAAATATTACCCATTGGATCGATTGTCGAACCTACAGGTAGGTTTAATAGAGTTGATGTATTGCCACTTCCACCAGTAATATTACCCGCAACATGTGTCCAACTATTAGCACCTAATGTCCAACGAACAATATTATTGGCGTTACCGTTAGAGATTATTAAACTTTTTGAGATAGATTCATATGTTAAACCATAAGGTACATTTAATTGATTTTTATTGTATCCTGCTCCATTTCCAGCAGCAACTACAATACCTGATGGATAACTAGTAACTCGATGATTGCTACTTTCACTTATATATATTGTACCGGAATCTGGATCACGTGCGAGACCAGATGGTCGAGCTAACGAAATGCTTGTATTTCCACCTAAATTCATCAAAATTTCATAAAATAATTCACAGAAAAAAAAACAATCTTTCGTTATGAACGACATTCCTACTCAGTAAAATACAAAAATAAAAGACTTGTCTAATGTTTCTTTTTGAATTTGCATTACTAATAGACAACAAGATTATGAAAACACGATAGTATTTTATTATTTTTCTTCATTAGAAATACCTGCAACTGTGATACCATACGTTGCATCTTTAACCCAAAGTTGAACTCTATGATTGAGTCTATCTGCTACATACATATTATCACTTGAATCAAATAGAATACCAACAGGTTGATTTAATCGATCCGAAGTAATTCCTGAAGTTCCATTAAAGTGTCCAGCTACTGTAACACAATTTGATGTACTTGTTATAAGTTTCTGTATTCGGTTATTGTAGTGATCAGCAATATAGAGTGTTTCTGAAGAATCAAAACCTAAACCGTAAGGTACATTTAATAAATTAGAGGTTTTTCCAGGTACACCACCAGTACCAACAATTGTTATGCCTGATGTGTTCCATCGAAGTGCCGGAGTAATTAATGGTGAATCTGAAAAAATATTGTTAATATTCAAAGTTGATTTTAATCAAACTTTTATCTATACTTTTTCTTTCTAAGGTGGTCAAAACAATTGCTAGTACTATAGCGATAGCTATACAAAGAAAAATCGTAGATAAACATATACATAAATATTTCTTTCGATATAAACATGAACGTTTGTAATTTCTAAATTACATATGTTAAGAATTATCAATAAAGAAAAAATACAAACTTTCTTCTTTTCTGTTGATGATGATCATTAATAGAACCTTTTTGATTTATCCATATGTTTTTTATCTATATTATTCAAAAGATTCAATGATGAGAACAGCCAAAAAAATCTCACATAATTTTTTTTTCATGATTAACAATAACAACATTCTTATTAGATTCAAAATGTTTTCTGTTAAAACTGAATAGATTTGAATTACTTCATGATGAGTTGCTTCTGATGATGTTGATAATGGTTCGTTTAATTTTAAATTCTGTGCATGTTCTGGGAGTTGATGGATATATTTTTCTTTATCTGTTGAATTTTTATTCGACCCATTGCTTTCCCATGCATCTTCATGCAACTATCATAATGTGAGAGAATAGATTCTAAATATAATAAAATTCGTTTTTTACTTGTGACAATGAAGGATGATGTTGATGATTTTTAGACATTTGATCTAATCGTGTTATACTTATTGATTTATCAGTGACGAAGGATTTTTCTGAACCATATTGATGAACATTAGAAAGAGCACTATTTGAAATTTGTTGTGTAATTTTTGACATATTAGTAGATCTCTCATTTCGAGAACCAATGTTACGTGGTGTTTGGACAATTACATGAATAGTATTATTCGATTTTCTCTTTGTTTTTGACGAATGATGATGCTAACAATTGAAAAAAGATACGAGACTATTAATATGAAATTCAAAAGAAAGTCACTCGATTATTTAATGATCGACATTGCTGATGAGATAATATTCTGACAGATGCTTTGGTTGAGGATTTATTTATTGGTGTATTCATTATTATCGAGCAAATTCTATTTGTTCTTCTACTATTGAAAGATGACTGAAAATATCTGCCTGTATTTTTTTTTAATGAATAAACTAAAACTTGCCAGAAGCGATTGTTAATTAATATGTATAGAAATCCTTCGTGTAGGTAAAAGATAATAGAAGTTATTTAATGGCTTCATACTTTTGAATATATTATAAAAAGTTCGATTGATGGATTATTTGAAAAAAAGAATTGAATTTTTTTTTTATTGAAACAGATTTTTTTCATATACGACATATTTTTCACTTTCTGCAGTTGTAATGTTGACAAACTTCAAAGACAACATAGTGGCCTACTTTAACGTTAAAAAGTTCTATTGATTATTACGATATTTGTAACAGAAAATATATTTAAAAAACTTCTTACATGTTTTGAAAACGTCGAATTCTAAATTCCAATATAAATCAATGGTTAACAGATGTTCATCATAATGTCTTAATTTTGTTTTGTGTACTGATCAAGACAAAATAGGTTTTTATTCAATAGATAATAAAATAACATTTTCAACAATCAAATGCGATTAGTTGACATAAAAGAAAGAAAAAATGAAAAATAATTAAAAACAAGCAAATATTTATATATATTCGTTCGTAAGGGAAAAATGAGCCTCGAGACTCTAGACTATCGATATTGATCTTCACAATATTTACCTTAATTATAATCAGTTACAAGGAATTACTCACTGCTATTGCTATATTATTTTAATAATGTGTGTTACTACTTTATTTAGAAAACAATGAATTTGTTATTACTTTAGCATAGATAGGACAATACATATTGTATAAACTTAAATGGACACTTAATCTGAATAATAAATTCAAAACATTTGCTATTTCTCATGGAAATTTAATGGCAGTCTCATTCCTCTGAATCTAGTAACATAGAAAATGTTTTTTTTTAGAAGCAGCAATATCGAAAACAGAGTCATCAACGCGTGTTTTGAATCATTCCTCGTGTTCTTCATCAAATCATGCAATTACATAGTGGACAGTGCAAGAATTATTGAAAATAAACAGGAACTTGATGATGACGACAACTATTAAATACAATATAATAAGAGAATTGAAACTATTGCGAAACAACTAAATTATAAAAATGATAGGGTATCGAACTGACATAAATACAAAGAACCACCGTGATTAATAATATACAATTTCTTACAATAAATTTTCGTCTACGACACAGCGTTCTTAATACCATTGTATTACTGATGATTTTCGCATTTTATCTTTGATTCAAATATAGTCAGAATTTCTAAATGATACTATAAGACATTTCAAGACAATTGTCTCAAAATCGAAAATGGAATAGAAAGGTTTGACAAATAAATTGCAATAAGTTTCATTCGAAAGTAAATATATATTATTCAAAATCAAAAGTAGCGGTAACATACTAATGAGTGTGCATAGAAATTGAGCAGCAATATATATATCGGAATGATCAATGCAGCCATAAATAAGTTGGATGGCTTACTCAAACAAATTATCGACCATTGACTAAAGTATTTATAGTGATGGCCGACATTAAATGCATAATTGAAGAAAATAATACAATAAGATCGTTTGTTCTTCTTTTTACTTATTGTGTAGCTAGAGAAAAAGATGCATAATTTCAGCTTCTTTATGTTTTTCTTTCCCTTTTTTTCTGTATATGAGCGTGAATGAATGAGTATTGTATAAATAGTACTTCTTTTCTTCCATAAATTGGTTAGATTAATTCGGAAATCAATCGTCATTAATTTGACTATATTATTAAAGAGCGAGACATACCTTACAAATAGAATAAATTTTATCTTTTGAATAGTACATTATTACAAAAAAAAGATACTGGATAATATTGTATTTATATTAAGAATTTAATACAGTAATATAATTAAATTAAAACGAACTAGAGTGTGGGTGTGGTTGAAGGAAATACCCACACTCACACACCCTATTTTTCAAGAAGCTTTGTGGCTGAGTAAGATACTTTATAATAATTCAATGTATTGTATTGTACAAATACAAGAAGCATACACTATTCATATGGACTTTTATTGCCACATATTGCTGACCACTTTTTTGAATGTTTCTTTATATATCTTGGATGGTAAAATAAATATTCCAAGTGTCAGTATCGATGGAATGAATGAAATGAAATAACCAAAAAGATAAAACCAAGAATCTCGAGCTGATTTCATACAACTAGATAGAAATGATATAATTAAGCGAGAAACAGCTAATGTAACAAGAAGGAATGGTGAAATAAGTAAATGTTTGTGATATTTAATTTGTTCAAACAAATGTTCTTCATATGACTTTGTTTTCTGAGATTTTGAACGAGTACGAGCTAGAATAAAAATAATAACTAATGAGGAAATAAAATTGATCAAGAGTGGCAGTGAAAAATGAAAAATATTCATAATCCAATCAACTGTTTGCATAGATGATGAATATTTAGTAACACACCATACACGTTGTTCTTCTTCATCGTCAACTAAATTACGATGAAGGGGATCATAAATGAAAGTAATACTAATGAAAACCATAATAATCAATATCATCCATTTAGCCAGTTGTTTACTCTTAGTCTTGTTGAATTTAACTCCTTTGACAACATTCATTGCTCTTTCGATAGCAACAAAAGCACTAAGCCAATCATTAGTACATAGAAGAGATCGAAGTAGAAAGTCAATTGATAAGCATTGAATATAATAAAATGTACGATTTGTAATTGAACCAATATGTATAAGAAGTAGAAAGGAAAATTTCAATGCTAGGAATATAATTATTATCATAGAAATAATTGATGATGCATAGAGATAAATA